TTCTTAAAAATATAAAATAAGGGAAAATAAATTGTTTTCATTTAAAACTCGTCACTAGAAGGCTTAAGTTTGGCGATCTGCAAGTTTGAAGTAAGCCAATTCTTATTTTTCAAAATTTGAGCTTTTCTGAGTAAGGTGAATAATCTGATGTGATCTGGCGACAAAGATGTAGGCAATCTGGCGTACAACAACGTGATGAGTGTTGTCCCGTCAGGGGCCAATGCTACCTTCTCTAACAATAATAATTGATCTCAATTTTAAAAATATCTGATTTGATGAAGTTAAATGGTCTTCAGATTCGGTTTCTGCGATCCCAAAATATATAGGTGAGAATCCTCGGTTAGAAATACCTTTCATTCTTTTATATTTTTTAGCTTAGGTCAAAAACTTGATGTGATGAGTAAAATGGACACCGGATTCGGATTTAACGACCCCCAAAACATATAGAAAGAATGGTCTGATCCCTAGACACGCACACAATTGTTTTGTGTGTGACTGTGTAATGATTCCCGTCGTCTTTATTTTCTTTATTTCTTTCTTCTTTGTCAACGCTGGACTGTTTTCAAAAATTCTTGCTAATTTAGTATTGCTTGACGCCCAAAAGGATTTTGTATTAATTTCTGCAGTCGCAAAAACCTAAATCCTGCCTACTAGATATAATTTTTTTTTTAAATTAAAAAACTAACATCAATATCATTTCAACACTGCTTGTCAAAAAATGCTGTTATTGGTAGTGTCATCAGATGATTCTGGAGAGCAGGTCTTGTTCTTTTCTGAAGTTGCATGTAGGTCTCGATTTAAACCGCATTTTCTTTCTACTCATGCTGTGATATCTTACTTTCTTGAAGGAGGTCTTTTCTCTTGAAAGAAACTAAGTTGAATTAAACTGCAATATTTACAACAAAAAATCTCTGGAGAGGGGGGGCCTGCTATATTGAGGCGCTTTAGGAACTTGCCCGCCATTCCGCATTGACGTTTGTCAATGTGTGTGACGAAGAAAAGTAGTCATATTTAACCTTCAAGGGACCATCTCAGCTCAATGAATCAAGTAACTAAATTTAAAACTTCAAGATGGGGATCAGAGTTTCAATAGTACTTTTCAATAACAAATTCGAATTCAATTACAACTTTTAAATGGTAGAACTCATGATATTTCCTGCTGCAATACGTTATTGCGTATTAGTTTCGAGATTGTTTAACGCACATTTATATCATTTTGTTTCAGCCATGATCATTAACTTATTTTAAGTAAAATGCCTTTTTAAGTCAGCGTAAAAATGAAATTTCTTGACATTATTTATTGTTTATCACTCGTTGCTACTCTTGTTGCTACTAGGGGACATGAGTCGAAAATGAAATTGACACATCGATAATGATGGCGCGGTATGTTTGTCATGTGACATCGAAACTATGGAAGTGAAATAAATTGGTGGTTCTCGTAGATAGAAACACCATGACGTATATTTTTATGCAGAAGTAATGTGTGATTAATGAAAAATATCTGTGTTAAAACGCCAGTGAATAATTGAGCGGGAACAATTTGAAATATACCTAGTGTTATTCTCAATTTATCTGCTCTACAAAAACATGCAAAAAATTAATAATGGTTCACGAAAAAAATCATGTTTTTAAACAAATGTTTGAAATATAAATAAGTAATCTGAAAATGCGGGAACTGTTAGAAAGCTGCCTCACAATGTTAAGACAACTAAGACAACTTCCATCAGCCAAGGTGATTACTTTCACTTTTTGTGAATGATAAGTATTCTGAAAATAAACGAAATGAGTAGTACTTACCTATTAAAATATTTTCGCTTATAAATGACGTATCCCAGCTAATAATACTTGTTTCCATTCATTTAATTTGTTTCCATAAGATTAGCCCTAGGTGATTCATGGATCTTAACCATCTAATGACTGATTCCTTCATTCTAATAAGCTTGGCTTGACATAACAAGAGCCAATCATCATTATGTTACATGATGTATTCTAAAAATATCACTAAGATGGGATGTACATATTTAGAACCGTAATACTTTGTTGACAGCAGAAACCATCAACTGGATCTAAGACACTTGTAAAGTCACCACCCGGATCTCTTTCCAGCACTGGAGCTATAGCTCCTAAGCAAGGTGCTAGTTCGGTATCAAGGCCAGCATCATCTACCATCAATAAAAATAATTATAATAATAAAATGAAGGTGACACTTTTGGTCTTTTGCATTTGCACTTCTCTTAAAAGAAATTTTCATTACGTCTGCATTAATATACATATTTTAAAATGTTTCAGCCTTCTCCAACTTCATCAAAAATGAAAAATGGACCAAGTTCCCAAACTCTGCGAACAGCACCTAGCAGAGATGATTTAACAGAATGTCATATTTGCCACCGGCGATTCACTAATGATCGTATTAAGGTTCATGAAGAAATCTGTTCAAAAACTGCCCAGAAGAAACGGAAAGAATATGATGCAACAAAGCATCGAGTTCAAGGAACTGAGGCTGAACAATTTGTTAAACGAGCAGTTAAGAATGGTCCACAAAAAAAGGTAAAGCTGATATATTATAATTTTTGCTGTTATTTTTGATTGGTAATAAAAGATCTGGATTTTAAGAAGGTTGAATAGATTTTCAAAAACCTTTTTTGGAACAAGGAATCTCACAGATTAACATAGATAAAATAAACATTTTTATTATTTGCATGTCAAAACGCAAACAGAAAGATAATATTGAATGTATCCTTGATAGATAATGAGTCTGTTCCTACAAGTCATTCACAACACAATATACTCAAGATATAGTTTACATATATTCTGCAAGAACATTGTAAAAGACTTGTTTATAATTTTGTATGTATACAATTTATTTTACAGTGACTTAATTGTTTTTGACATTTTTTTATGTACAAATTTAATAAGAGGAGAACTTCTGAGAGCACAGGAATATAAGTAACACAGATTAAGGTAGTAAATTTACATTAGAGCCACCACTTGCTAGAGGCTTCACAAAGTTAATAAATCCAAGTAATAACTCTATATTAATGCATATCATCAGAGCCTGATAAACTATTATGTGAACTCCAGGCTGCAAATATTTTACCTACTCTTGTAAGAATGTTTCCTCTTAGGAAGCAGGAAAAATTATTGATTCCTTAAGTCATTCATTCTTTTATGGGACTAAATATTGATATAGAATTTTTTTAATAATTAGTCGTGTATTATGCAATTTTTAAAACAACTTTCAGCCATTAGTAACCTGACAATGTGTGTCCAACCTGACCACTGCTCATATTGGAAGTTTATGTTTTCTTTATTGATCTTACCACACAATTTGTTTGTGGTACCATTTCACACATTAATACAAATTCAATGAGTAAAGACATGCAGAAAGATATTTTTTATTTCTTTCATTTGTAGTTCTATCTGCTCTTTTGGACATACTTATTTCATCATTGTACAGGAAATGTCTGTCAAATTAAATTCCTAATTCATGTACTTTGGGCTAGGGCCTACTCAGTCTCTTCAGTAAAAAGCATAGCATCATTAAATAAATAATTTATGAAAATAAATTTTAATAAATAATATTCACACCTTGTTTCTGTTATATAATATTTACTGTTAAATAACAGTTACTGCTTGTCCAAACCTTCAAATTTAAGATATATCTTGACTATTCATCCTCAAGTCATGATTTCATCAAAGTTGTTTGTAATTTTGAGAAGATTATCTTGACCTAACAATGACTTCTTCTGGTTTTGGCTCAAAAATATTTCTTAAGTTTCAAATTGAAACAAGTCACTGAACTATCAGATTTGTTACCATAAAAAATAATTTTCTGTTCTGAAATTTCTAATTTAAGCGATGCTCAACTAAAACTATAAAAATTGCTCTAAAATAATTTTTTATAATAATACATATGATATTTCAATGTTTTTTTTCTGAGCATAAGTTCATCATTTCTTATGCTTAATGATTTTGAATATGGTTTCAGGTTGAACCAAAGAAAGCAGACTGGCGAAAAAAGCACGAAGAGTTCATTCAAACAATTCGTGCAGCCAAAGAAGCACAGGCTCATGTGGCTGCTGGAGGCAAGTTGTCTGATTTGCCTCCTCCTCCGCCTCTGGACACCTCTGATTATATCCAGTGTCCCCACTGTGGACGTCGCTTCAATGAAGCTGCTGCTGAGCGCCACATCCCACGTTGTGCCAATATGCAACATAATAAACCAAAAGCCCCTGCAAACAAATCTTCAGGATCTTTCTGCAAACGGCGCTGATCATAATCGTGAAAGATTTCCCTTATGTATAGTATTATACATAGCATTCAGAAAGACTTAAATATATAATTTAACTCCATAAATATATTTTTTCATCATGGAGCTGATTTCATACATTTTATGAAAAGTAGATATGATTATTTAATTCTAATATGATGCCTACATTTTTGAATAAGATTTGCCAATAATTGTACTTATAATAGAAAGGGGATTAAGGCCTACTCTATTTACAGGATAGTGAAGTAGGTGCAAAATAATTGTTTTGTAGCAGGTGGAGGAGTTTTGTGCAACTCAAGAAATTGTCTTCAATCTTAGGGAAAGTTATGCATTTTTCAAACAACTCTGCATGAAAATTGTCATTATCGTACCGGTAATGATTCATGCTAGTAGCTTTTTATATATTAACTTCCAAGCAAGATACTATTGAGTTATATTTTTGAACATATGAGACTTCAAGTCATAGTCATGTTTAAAAAAAACAAACATGCATTTTTACTATATTTCACATATTTTCGTAAAATGTTGTATATGGGTTAATATTATTTAACATGTTATTTCATAATTTTCATTAATAGGTTCAGTAAACCATTAGTTAGAGTAATACTGCAGCTTTTTATCAGACTTGTTTGTGAAATAGTGTACATAGGAATAATCCAAAAGAGTAACACAACCATTACTAAAATAGATTTCTATTTTCTCTATTTAGGTCAGTTAATTTCAAGGATCAGCTTTTGCACTTTTTGAATGACTGTATACTGGGGACACCTGTACTGTCTAAATCAGAATCATATAATTTGCTTTAAGGAACATTAAAATTAATTATATTTTGGTTAAATTTTATTTACTTTAAATGTATTTGATTATGTTATCATGTTATCTTCATCTCTTTTAAAATGAAATTTGATATATATGATTTTCAGACATTGAGAAATGTGATACTACTACAAATGTAATGCATGAACTAGTGTGTATGTTTTTCAGGATCTAAGTAAGATGGTTTTTGAGAATGTGTGGCAATTGTCTGTTTGATATGAATGGATGCGTGCAAATAAACTTTATAAAAAATTCAAAAGTGTGATTTTCTTCATGTATTACATACATGTGTTATACTACTTTGTACAACTTCTGCTACAAACACTAATTTTAATAACATGAGAAAATATACTAAAAATGCACTAGAAATCATCATAGAAATTGACTTAGGAGAGGACACACACGTGTCCTCTCTTCTATCATTCAATTTCAATCACCTCATCACCTCAATGTTTTCTTCTTCATTGTTCACACATTGTTGCCAACTCTGACATGAGTGGTGACAACCTCACAACTACTCCAGCCTGTAAACCACACAAAAATTACACAAAAAGTATTAAAATGATGACTTCTTATTCTTTAATATTTCCTTCATTATTTATGACTGATCACAATGCCATTATGTCTAAAATATAATCATAAAATTGAAATTTTGTTTGCAAAATGGATAGAAAAGAAAATAATGTTTGGCATTATATTTCAGGAAATCAAGAAATAGATGCATTTTTTATGAACAAAGCTTCAGCCATTATGAAAATTATTTTTCTGGCATGGAGAGGTATTTAAATGTTTTATCAAATTGGCGTATAAAAGAATTTCAGGAAGTTCTTGGTTCTGTATCTGATCAGAATTGACATGACCAGGAATATGTTATGAACTTTTCTTTAAATACACATATTTATTAAAATTATATGATTTCGGATATTTAATTTGAAGAATTAAGTGCTAACACAAAAGGAAACTTAAAATTTTATATTTGAAGGTAAGAAATTCATTTTGATAAAGCAGTGCTGTTAAATCACTTCCTATTATAGGAAGTCTCTCAGGCAAGTTCAGGCAAATCAGAGACAGAATTTTCATTTACTTCCATTTAATATTCAAGAAGGAACAATAGCATACATTTTTGGCATGGGGAATACATTTTTTCTTTTCTTATGCAAATAACTGAATACACTAGACAATACTTAAAAGTTTGCATCCTTGAATGTTGAATTCACTGAGACTGATAATGCATTGGGGGTTCAATTTTCATAAGGCAGATTATAAAACTTCCAATTTATGAGGGCTGTTCCAGAATTATTGCTTCAAAAATGGTACCTAGACTAAATCATATATTTCTTCATTATTTACTGAGTGTAGGAGCTTGAAAATATTCAAATAATACCTTGAGATTGTGAAAACAAAGGTTACTTGAAGTAGAAAATGTGGAAATTTTTTCTAATTTGTTGTAGAACTTTTTAGTGTTAGAACTTTTTAGTTGTAGAACTTTAGGCTTAACGCATCCGATGCACTGATCCTAGAAATACATGCAAATACAAAAAGATGGTGGCAAATGGCTCTCCATTCAATTTGTACACTTCACTATGGTGTCCATTATCGAGTTGCAAGAAACTTAAAGAGGAAACTCAAATTTCCCATTCTGTCGCCATTGTTGAGACAGAATGGACCTATTAATGAACCTTTCCACTTCATGTCTTAAAGATGAAAATTTACTTACAGGCGAATTTACTTACAGGAAAATTTACTTACATTGAGTATTATTCAATTCTTTGAAAAATAAAGGAAAATTGGAAACTTATTTAGGTAAGATTTTCATGCATTTATGATACAAAAATGCAAAAATTATTTATATATTGAGATATTTATATATTGAGAATTATTTATATATGGGTATCCATGCGGGAACTCTCGCAATTTAAACCCCTCCCTTTTCCCTATCCAGGGATGGCTCCAGCTGATCATTTTAGAGGGGCCGTCATAGATTTTTGTTAAATTGTGAACATACTTGTTATTATATTGCATATTATTTATGTTCAGGAGATATGATACTATACAATATTATTGTTGAAATAATTACATACTTTGAACATAAATAAATATTTAAATCAAATTCGGCCTGGGGGCAGCATGGCTCCCATGGCCCCCTCTGGATATATGTCAGTGTCCATATCCTTCCATTTCCATTATAAGAGGAGAAGTTGTTAACAAAATGAGTTTATTTGTTTAAAAAGTATATAAAGATAACTTCCACTATACTTTCAGACTATCAAATAAAAACAATGCAATTGATATCAAAACAAATTTTCATGATGGTATATTCAGTATTATAGACAGAAGTTTTTGGGACAATTCACGTTTCCTTAAAAATCTTTGATGCCAAATTCGTTTTTTTTTATTTCTATTACATCATACAGACAGACAAGAATAATTACGCAAATAAATGGAACATCCAGAAATAAATACCATCTAATATATCCCATTATGAATGCATTCGAAACAAATTCATTGCCTTATACAAATGTTTTATATTCGGTTCAAACAATTACTTTTTTAATATAATTTTTACTATTACTATTCGTAACAATGTAGCATCTGACAAATAATTTCACCAAGAGAGAAGGCTTAGGGCAGCAACTGATGTCACTGCAGTCCCTCTGACCGTGACCCCTTCATTCGTGTCCCGACGGAGGCAGGATTTTCGATTCTAGCTTGTTAGCCAGGTCGAATTCAGTCGCTGCCTGGAGGAGAATTCTAGCGGCCGGCTGCTCTGATCGGTGGTTTCTCTGGTCAATACAAGGCGAATGCCGGATCAGTACCCTAAGAAACGATCCGCGCGCGATCTTTCCTTTTTCTTCCTTGTGCTATCCTCACACACTTACACTAACATGCACTACACTACCACTCATGCCGGGAGACCGCTCGGAATATTAGAACTTGTCCTGGTTGGGACGGTGCCCCGCAGGTGAGAGATACCTGACTGGGGAAAACCTCTTTAGCCGACGGTGGGTCGACGCCGAGTCTCGCCGTACAGCAGGGAAAAGATCACCGCCACTTCCCGAGCAAAAACATACCCTACACTTACGGAACTAATGACTCTAGTAGTTGACGTGCTGGGAATCACTAATCAGTCAACAAATAACTTCTTGATCCCGCAGCATTGCATTCTTTAAATACAAAAATAATTAAATAGTTGGAAAAAATTCAGACGTAAACAACATAACGAATGTCACTGGCTTCAAATCGTAATTTCTAATTTAATTATTAACTCTAAATATTTCGTTCTGACTTAACGAAAAAAATGTAGTTTTTAAGTACAGTACAGAGATGTCATATTAGGCGAAATTACTACAAGTGGATAAATGATTATCACCTGGATATACTATCGCCTAGACATTGTGACATCGTCGGGTGCGACTAAAACACAGACACGGAGTTGTTCTGTACAGATTTTTTGACAATTTTTTCTATACAATATTTACACTCTTGGAAAACAAGCGCTGCACTTCCAGCACTGCACATCCCTGAGGCATAGCCGCCTCAGCTTGACGCAGACACCAGCGGCTTAGCGCCGCTCCTGGTCTCTCGTCCCGTGGCAACCTCCACACCTCGCAGCTGAAGCTCGCGATAACCCCTGGCGGGTGAAAAGTGCCTTCCGCACCGCGATTCGGTTCAAAAACTGAAAACCACGGCTGGTTACTCCCCAGTCGCCTCGCGAGGGGTCACGTGACAGACCTCCCATGCCGGTGGTATAATCTCATTCCGAAACGTGGGCCTGGTTGCAATTTGGAGCCCAGCTGCCCCGCGGCAAATTTATACACATCTCTCCCTCTGCACCCATCATCTCCCACCCACCCATCGCCCATCATCTTCCTCTGCACCAGTTGACACCCGCGTTCCGGAACACGCCCACCCCGGCCCTCGGGAAGGTCCCGCCTCTGATGACCTTCCCCTTGCCGCCAAAGCACTGCCCCCGCCCCCTCGCTCCCCTCCAGACATGTGTGGTCTATCTGGCTCATTGGCACGACGTTACAATATACAGTTTCTAGGTTGTGTTGCTTGCACTGCACAGGTGTATGATATCTAAAACTGGACAATATTATAATTTTATGAATGATGGCCTCAATAGCACAGCTCTTTATAGGTTTGCTCCGGTTTGCTCCTAGATAATTTGCCTCCGGTACGAAGGAACGAGGAAAGCCATTATACCATCGGCAGACTGTTAACTTTATGTATACTAATACATAAAGAATACAAATTGTAGAATTAAGTAAAAGTAGCAATAGAATTAATATTGGCATTTTAATAGAAAATTACAATCGCAATTAAAATTAAATTAATCATTTCCATATCATTCATTCAATTTTTTTCGTGGCTCGTAGTTGTTGTAAAACCTGTATATACTTCATTAATTTCAACCAGAAATAACGCAAACAATACTGGTTTTAAAAAAATGTACTTGGCTTTTTTTGAAAAGCTAATTTTGTCCAACAGACTTTGTCTGAAGCAAAAATCTCTATCTTCAATTTTGTAGTTTTGAATAGCGCTATATTTCGTACTGTTCCTTATTACATATGTGGAGAAAATTTAAAGAAAAGATTTAGAGTGGATTTTGAGAAACTTTGTTAGAAATTACAATTGCAAAATAGGCAAAAACTACTTGTTTTTAAAAAAAAGTACATGACCTCTTTTGAAGAGCTGTTTGCACAACAGTCTTTGTCTGAGGCAAAAATCTCTATCTTCGATATTGTAGTTTTAAAATGTTTTTTTGGTTGAAATTTTCAAAAACCGAGCAATACACAAAAGTATGACTACCACCATATTGTTTACGTCACTTATTACAGAAGTGAATACAATTTTTTAAAAAAACGGAGTGATTTTTGAGAAAATGTTTGTAAATTTCAACCGCAAAATACGCAAAAGTAATATTTTTTCAAAAAAACTGTACATGACCTTTTTTGAAGAGCTAATTGTACAGCGAAGGGGGGAGAATACCTCGAATGGGGGATGGGGTGCATTAGCGGTTTGAAAGGCCCTTCTCTATACAAAGTAAATTGTACGCCGCACTGGCCCATAAGGTGCCCGGGGGGGGGAGGGATGGCGCTTGTTAAGGGAGGAGGTGGAGGATGACAAAATTACGAGAATTTCTTTGCACGTAGTATTTATTAATACTAGATTTCTATTCTTAGTGGATGGGATGATATGACAAATGTTAATTGTACAGAAATGAAATTAAATTAATGACACAAAATGGTTGTTCGTTACTTCTATGTTAACTCATCACCGTGAAGGTGACGTCGTAAAGATTGGTCGCACTACACGTCCATGGGCGTTGGCGAATACCTGATGCTGGGTGGCTGCGGCATGCGT